CAGCACATGGAGCTTGGTGGTGACAGACTGCTGCCACAGAGGATGCCTGCAGTCAATTTAGCTTCTCCATGATGACGAAGACAATGATTAGATCAGAGAGCAGCTTTGTAACGTGCTCTTTTCTCCACTTTAGGTATATGATGTGGCTATGTGCAACCTCTTTGGTGTTTCTACTGCCTGCATGTAAAGGAAAGTCCAATCTGTGCTTCAGGAAAATCTTCACCATAGAAACTGCCACCAGCTGTCTTCCTATTGGGCATGCCTATTCCTGCCCTTACATATCAAGGGACAGATTTCTTTGGCAGAAGGGAATTGAAGTAATGTCAGGGCTCCCCAGTGGTTCTGTTGATCCCATTTACTTACTTAGCATGACATGACATTAATTCTGTCATAGGAGGAGCTGTAGGTCCAGACCCGATGTTGTCCTTTAGTCTGAGAATATGTATTTAAGTCAGATTATGAGGACAACATAGGTTAGAATCTCCTTCAATTGCCACCTTTCCTGGAGTTAATCTTCATTTTCAAAGAGCAAAAATTATGCATTGGAAAAGAATAAAATGGTAAAGAAGAAACATAAATCAAAAGAGATAGAGGAAGGATGAAGCTAAGTGGGAAAGATAGTGATGTAGGTAGAATAAGGCTAAGAATTTAAGTGATAGGATATGGAGAGATAACAGCAGGAAAGGTGAAAGTAGAGGCTAGTACATTCCAGAGAAAACCCCAAGACTGCAACCAGCATGTGAACAAAACAAAACTGACACCACTTCCATCAAGTGGGTTGCTTTTCTGGTCACTGTCTTCTCAAATGTTACTTCACTGATCACAGGTCCTTCTTTATCTTTTCTCCTCTTAGTGAAAAATTACCAACTACTTATACCTCCTTGGATATATTGGTTTAGCAGTCTTTTATCAGGGGGGCTCAGAAAATAAAAAAGAGAAATCTGCTACCAGTTGTAAGTAGAGCTTGTCTCTTCTTGAAGTATGGAAGCAAGCCAGGAACCAGATGGGCTCCTGTAGGAACCCAGAGATACAATAGTGTACCTGCAGGGGCCAGAGATTTAGCTCAGTGGTTCTGTCGCCTACCGCACAAGCACAAGGACCTGAGTTCAATCCCCGGGACAAAAAAAAAAAAAAAGTGTACCTGCCATTGCCTCAAGTCTCAGCAGGTTTGCCTTCTGGAATCTACTTGGATTGGGCTTTCCTGGTAGGCAAAAGCTCTCTGGGCCCCAAAGATCTGAGAATCTCTGCTTGGTCCTCTCTGTAAGGTCCTTTCTCTAAACAAAACACACGCAATCTGCTACTCATTCTCCTTAGCCTATATGCCCTCATTTTGCTGGCTTGTCAAAAAAAAGTAGCAGACCCTAAAGGCTCCTCTTGCCTGCCAAGGAAAGGTAAACCTGTAAGACCAAGGAAACTCCATTGAATGAATTTAGAAATAGAAGTTAAAAGGCCAATTTTTATATTTAAAACAGCTCGCAACCAAAGAAGTAGAAATAAAACAGTGAGAGGAGAACTTCAACAAACTTTCAGTGAGAACATCAACCCAGAAAAAAATTCCCTAGAGCATAGCATAGAGCTTTACTAATTGGATATAATCACTGCAAATCTTATGCATTCAAAGTGACATCACTGACTAGCTACGAAAACTATGAGAGAGAATGAGGGTTACAATGGTTAAACTGTATTTGGTAGGAAATCATTAGAATAAAAACTGCATATCATTATCCCAAGAAGAGACAAACAGATTAATAGGACACAGAGTCCACAAAAAATATGAGGAATTGGATAGCAGGATTTCATTTCCAGGGCAGTGCTTACTGAATAAACAGTGCTAGGATAATTGATTGTCTAACTGAATAAAAAGAAAAAGCAAAAAACACTTCATGCCATATATAAAAAGAAATTTCTGGTGTCTTAAAATACATTAAAATGTATAAAATATTAAAACAAAAATATAAAAATGACATCTTTGGGGGAGAAGATGCCTAGTGGGCCACATAGGAGCTCTTTCAAGGCAAAGAAAATAAATGTACGTGATTAAGTTTTTAATGACAGAAGCCAACATAAACTCAAAAGACAAGTGGCAGACTGAAAAGAATACTGTACCTGTAGTAAAACAGAAAAGTTTAATTTCCCTAGTATGCATATTGAGAACTTATGTTAACTGATTTTTTTTTGGTACTGGGGATTGAACTCAGGACCTTGCACTTGCGAGGCAGGCGGCAGAACCACTGAGCTAAATCCCCAGCCCTGTAAACTGATTTTTTAAAAAACAAAAGAAGTATTGGACCAACTGCTAATAAAAAATGGGTAAATCCCCAAACTGGAAATGCATATAATATATATATATATTATATATATGCATAATATATATATATTCCCATAAATGTATGAAGATATACTCATCATCACTATATTCAAAACAAACTTACAGTACATTCAAAATAAACTTACAAAAACATAGAGAGAGCCTCCTTCCACTACACTGGCAAAAAATGAAAACAGAAGCAACACTTATCACAGGTAAAGATGAGGGCAACTATATGATTTTTTATAGAAAAATGTGAAATATAATTTTTCTTTTCAGAGAGGCTTTCAATATCAATTAAAATTAAAAAGTACATAAAATTTGATCTAAAATATTATTTTGGGGAGTCAGGTGTGGTGGTGCATGCCTGTAATGCCAGCACTTGAGAGGCTGAGGCAGGAGAATCACCATGACTTCGAGACCAGCTTGGGCAACAGAGTAAGTTCAAGGCCAGCCTGAACTACACAGTGAGACCTTGTCTCAAAAAAAAAAAAAAAAATTATTGGGCCGGGGATTTAGCTCAGTGGTGCTGCCGCCTGCCTCACAAGCACAAGATCCCAAGTTCGATCCCTGGTACCAAAAAAATTTTATTTTGAGGGAGTTATCCTACAGAAAAAAAATTTACCAGGGTAGAGTGATGGATGATAGATAGGTTGATAGGTGTATGGATGGATGGACAGATAGATAGATGGAGGGATGGATAGTTTACAGTGTCATTTTGGGAGAGGGTAAAGAACAAAAAACATTGGTTGAATATCTCTCCATGGGAAAATAAATGTCTGTTGTATGTGTATACATATATATGTGTATTTGTGTATATGTATGTATGTAAATGTACATATACATTTACCTGTGGAATATTATGCACTTTATTTTATTTTATTTTATTTCTCTGGTACCGGGGATCAAACTCGGGACCATGTGGTTTTGAGGCAGGCAGCAGAACCGCTGAGCTAAATCTCCAGGCCATGCATTTATTAAAAGATTAAGATTTATAGACTAAGATTATAGTGTTAATTTAGAAAACAAAGCAGTAGGTTAATATAATATAAAGTTAGCACAACTGTTTTATTAAAAACACACTGGTAATAATGCTAGATATGACTGAGTGCTTGCATAACCATGAAGAAAGGTGTGAAGGGCTATTCGACAGGCTCTAACACTAGTTTTCTTATCCTTAGAACTTTTGTGGATACTTGGCATGTAAAGTACTCTGTCAAATAAAGTTTTAATAAATACCTTGTTTTGAAATGTGCTGCTAGGCAGGAAGGGACACAATTATTGGTGCTTTTATAATTCATTTTTTCATTGGTTATGATAAACGTATTACTTTTATAATCTGTAAAGAAGAATACATTTTTGGCACAACAGCTAATGTAAACATCTCATAGAAATGTGTAAAGCTATGGCACTTCTATTTTGATATATTATTCATATTCTGCTTCCCCTCTTAACATCACCCTCTTCTTTCTATTGGAAAAGCTATTTTTAAAAAAACATTCTTAACTTAAGAACACAGATCCATGGCAGACAGAGAATACACACAAAAAGGAACAATCAGCAGGAGAGAAGAATTACACTTCAGCAATAGCACACAGGCTTAATATCTGTCATTTATCCCAGAGTTCAAATAACAAATCTGCTTTGCTGACAATGGATGTTGGATCTAAAGTATTGGTTTCACTTTATCTGTTTCCATAGTATTATAAGCTAGGAGACAATAAATTCTTTTAAAAATATTTTAATGTTTCTAAATTCAGAGAAAATTCTGTTATTCTGAATGTCATTTGAATGTGAGGTCAAAGCCACCTGCACAGAGAGGTTGTAAAAAAAAATAAGCCAACAGACAAGTGAACAAGACTTGAGAAAGCCACAGAGAACAGAGATGTCTGCATGCAAGGTGGTAATTTTCTCTATAATTATATGTGATTAAGACAGCAGGAACCCAGAATAGGTATAGAAATATGATATTATTGTTCCTTGGATTTAAATATAGTTTCAGTTTCCTTAGAAATCCAAATTGACATATATGCATGTAACAGATGTACACACACATAAGGAGTGTCATGAATGGTATTGCTAATTAAGCCCTACCCAATATGTGTGGGGAAAGTAGATGGGAACTGTGAATGTGTATAATGCAGTACATCATTCTGTGAATCCAGAGTCATAATTTTTAGAATGATGTATTTTCTTGAAAGTGGGAAGTTTGTATTTATTTTCTGCAATTATCTCTACAGTGAACATTTCAGCTTCAGAGGGAGGCATCTTCCAGAAAGAACAGGACAGATAAAATGACTCAGGAAATATTAAAAGGCAAACAAGAAAAGAAACAATTTAAGTCAAGGCTTACGTATGTCTAAATTTTCTATGTGACCTAGAATTTATTTTCTGGGACTTACATATCATACGTAAGTGTCTCAGAGAAATAAAGGTTATTTTCTCTTTGTGCAACATGCAGGATCACCAGTGATAATCCCATGCTGCCTCCCTGGCTAGGTTACCACCAGAACCCTAATTCCCTGGTTCATCTTGAACTCTTTGGAGATCTGATCAGGCAACCTGGGCAACATTTAGCGTAACTAGAGGCTCACTAATAGAGCTTAAAGAGAACTTCAGTGAACAAAACAGGAAATCCCTGAGAGCTCCCCAGTCTGTCCCGGGAGGGAGAGAGGAGCAAAGAGGGAGGTACCCTGCAAATCTCCACTCTGTTGGCAGCCTCCTCCATCTCTTCCCTGAGGGCATCAGCTTTGGAACCCGCAGGCTGTAAGCTGCCGGACAGACCTGAAGACTTGGAAGTCTGCTGCCACCTGATGGAAAACAGGAGAAAAAGAGGAGAGAGGTGAGACAGGCAGAGCCCTGCGGAGATCCCAGGATGCAGGGAAAAACACTTGGTTACAAATATCACCTAGGGAATGAAATGCTCTGACTGAAAGGAGAGGAGATGAAAAACTACCAAGTACTTCAGCAGGAGAATGGGGCTCCCATTTCCACGCTATGACTGCCCAATGAAGCTGAGCATCCGCTGCCCCTCCACAGAGAACAAGCATTCCCCAGTGTGCATCACTTCCCCTACTGTTACCCAAACACCGAGGGCAGATCACAATCACTGTTTGACTATTGCTGTCTTTTTTGCTTTAGTTAATGTCCTTTTTTATTGACAAATTATCATTGTATACATTCATGGGACACATTGTGATATGCTGATATATGTACACAGTGTGAGGTGATTAAATCCAGCTAATTAGCACATCCATCACCTCACATTTTCTTTGGTGCTGAGGATCAAATACAGGGCCTTATGCATGCTAATGAGTGCTCCAACACTAAGCCACACCTCCTAGCACCTCACTTATATTTTGCCATGAGACCTATGAAATTTAACCAGGCTGATCATCATTAAAAATAAAATATTATATATTTCAAAATAACTATCTCTGTCCTTAAACACAGTGTCTGTCATTTATGTTTCCTGTGGGCACCTGAGTTTGGAAATTCACTGACTTGGGTAAAGCCAATAATGTAGCTGATTGAGAAGAAATACCAATAAGATTAAAAGCAAATATGAAAGCAAGAATATCTATTGATAAGCACAGAACAACTTTATATTAACATTTAGATACCTCATTTATATTTCCTTAAAATGTAACTTTGTGGAAAGAATCTTGGCTTCTGAAAAAGCCACTCAGAAAACATTTAGGGGAATATACCAATACCTCTGGTCTTTATCATAATCAGGAATTACCAGAAGCAAGACACGAAAGAAGTGTCCAATGACAGTGGGAGTTAGCAGCTAGGTTAGGGCTCAGCAATGGGTCCCCCCTCTGGTGAGTGTGTGAACTCAATGGCACACAGGGCCCAGCAAGTAGTAAGCCAAACAGGCCATCACCTTAAAAACTAGTCCAATAGGTCTTGTCTGTTCTACCTGCAAAAGAGATGTGTGAGCTATTTCTATACTATAACAATAGCATAATCAGCCTGGCTTTGGTCTTGGGAAGTCAGGAGGGAGCGGAAGGGCTGAGGAATGGTGATGGGTGGAGTTGCCCTGGGAGAAACAATTGATCCTCAGCTTAGGCAGAAGAGGCTCAGTTAGGAATGTGGGTTATGAGTTGCTACATGTTTTAATCGACAAGAGAATTTGGAAATTTTCATGTGAACTTCCCTGATGAAATGTGACAAGAGACTAATTCCTCCTAAGCATCATGAAGGTCCGTGATGTTCAGACCAGACAGGGCAGCTCTGTGGGCTCTGACTCAGGCCATCAGTGCGGAAAGGACAAAAAGTGGAAAGTCTCTCTCCTACAAGTCAAGAATGTAATCACGAGGGGCTTTCTCTGCTCAATTTTCTCTTTTATTATCTGCAGGAAAAACAGAAGAGTGTAGGGCTGAATGACACTATGAAAATGAAAGAAAAGGAAAATAAAGGAGTCTTTGTTAATAGCAAAAAATGGCAATGTAAAAGACTCTCTCTTACTTAATGTAATCATGGGAAAATCACTTTAAAAAGACTTTGGGACATCAAGCTGGCTTGATGTTCCAGAGAAGATAGATACATATCCTGGGAAACATTGCTGATTCTAAGATAAGAATTTAGGGGAAATTAGAAAGGAAATATTCTACCCAAAGTGATTTCAAAATCTAAACAAAAATAAGTTAGGATAAAAAAGCTAGTTTAAAAAGTTAGGATAAAAAAGGACTATTAGGAATCCCTAAATAGTTCTTTCTTATAAAGTGTTGATTTATTCAATGATATAGTTGATTAATACCTCCCAGGTCAAACTATTTCAAATAAAGTATTAAAGTGTTGTGGGGTTTTTTTTGACAAATAAAATATGAGATGCTACAGCTATAATTTATATCTGAGACAATAAATATATCTCCATGGTGATTATGGGATCAAGTTATAACCACCATCTGCTCATGTTACCTGAAGGAAAAACAACCAAGTGATATGTAAATGTTATATATATACACATATATATATATATGTGTATATATAAAGTGACTATAAACACTAACCTGATTTTTGTGGCTTTACAAATAGGTATTTGATTTTTTAAAAATCTGGAATTATATTCAGTATACGTACATTAAAATGAAGACATTTTCCCCAAGTTATCTCTTTCTTTTTTTTCCTATTTCCCTCTAAATTTTTCTCTAAATTTTGACCCTTAGTCAATATCTTGGCACTTAAAAAAAATACACCTTTCCCATTCCTACAAGGAATTGTACTTGCAATATATAAACAATCCATTTTGATGTCACATAATGACAGTAAGATGCCAAAATAACAGACCTTTTGCAGAAATTAAGTAACAAACTATCAAGGAGAATTTGGATAAAAAAATTGTACGGGCAGTAATCTGTTGCAAAAAGTGACATGAATCATGTATTTCAAGGTATGGTGGTCTTCTCAACTACTTGTTCTACAAATAAACTCAAAGGCTGCACTGTTCCTTAACAGGAATACTAGACACTGTCCAAGAAGAACATGAGCTTTGACATTCAAAGAGAGAGATAATTTCTTCCCACTAAAGTAGCTGATGTGACACTCAAGTTCTCTGGGAACAGAAGGCTGTGACTGCAGCCTTGGGAGATGAAGACCTTACACAACTTTCAATAGGCTAGATGAGGGAGAAGGGTAAGAAGCAGGCATGTGGAGTTTTAGGGAGCAAAGAAGGAAGGCCAATGTTTCCAGCTAGTAAACTGGAAGTCCAGAAGGAGAATTTTGGGGAGGCAAACAAGAAAGTTGCTTTAGTGGACATTTTCTGTTTCATCTGTCCATTCTTCTTTGTTCTGTTGTCACCAGGATCCCCCATATTTTGAGTATCTGTTTCCACTCCTGCTCTCTTGCATGGTCTAAAAGAGTTGCCATTTTTTGCAGGACCCTGGCAGCGAGTGGCTCACAGAGGGCTCCAGATGCAAGCCACAGCCTTGCCTAACCTTCATCACCTTGGCCACATAACAGGCCAAGAAAGTGGGCACATAAGGTGCCGACAAACAGAGCTCTTCTTTTGCATTGGTAAAACTGGAACAAAAGGAAGAGGACTCCTACTGGAAAGATATGAGACCAAGGGACATCCAGTCACCAGGAAACAAGTACTGCAGATCTAAGGAAAAGGCCCTTGCATGTGAAGAGAAGTAGAGGTGAGAGGTACTACCAGTCCCAGAGGTACTCAAGACTGCCATGGCTCCACAATTCCACTAGACTTCTAGATACCTTCTTCTTACATTTCACGTGCTGCTCAATACTTTGCCCTAAACTCTCTGGTCTTATTTCCACTCCTTCATTTTCTTCCAAAGGAAACAGGTATATTAGTCTGCTCAGACTTTCATAACAAAGTGCCACAGGCTCAATGGCTTAAAACAATAGAAGCATATTTTCTTGTAGTTCTAGAGGCTGAAAGTCCAAGATGAAGGTTCCAGAAGATTGGTGAGGTATTTCTGGCTTGTGGATGGCTGCTATCTCACGGTGTTCTCATATCATCTTTCCTCTGAGTGCATGAGAAGAGATCTCTCTTCATTATAAGACTGCCAATCATATACAACAAGGGCCCCATCCTTATGCCTTATTTAAACTTAATTATCCCTAAAGATCCTGTCTCTAAATACAGACACATTGGTGGTTAGGACTTCAACAGGTGAATTTTGAGGAAATACAATTAGGTCCTTAAAACCCAGAGGCAGCTGTTGAACAGAAAGAGAATGTGTTCTGGGCTCAGAAGGGTTAATGTTAAGGTACATGTCTAGGAAAAGGTGAGGTGGCTTTAGGAAAGAATAGACCTCCTTCTTCAACCACTGCCAAATCCAAACCAGTGGCAGGAAAGATACTGGTGTCATTCACATTCATTTCAACTCATAAACTTTAATTCAGCATAAGTTTCCTAGAGGTTACCTCTGTTTTTCTCATCCATAATTATGATGATTAATATTGTTAATTTGCTTGGTTTGGGAGATGGCTAGGAGATCAGTAAAGCATACACATTGGTGTATGGCTGGGTGGGTCATGGAGGTTTGACCTTGGGAACTGTATCTGGGCCCTGGCCTCTTCCTCTCTGGTTCTTCCCTTGCCCTCTGCTTTCCAGATGCCATGGGTTAAGCAGTTTTCTTCCACCATGCCCTCTGCCATAGTGTTCCTGCCTTGAAGCCAGGTGACCATGGACTGAAACTTGTGGAGTTGTGAGCCAAAATAAACCCCTCCTTAAAGCTGTGTTAGGTGTTTCGTCCCAGCATTGAAAAGCTAATGTAATAATTTTTTATTCATCTTCAAAACATCAGTTTTCTTTGAGCATCTTAAAGTCTGTTTCACTGGAGACAAACCAGACTGACTTGAGTGATGACAAATATGCACATTTGATTTAGACCTCATTAAACACTGGATAAATTAGCTGGCTACGTACAGTATTCGTTAGAGTTGCAGTAGATTTAAAAGATCCAGTCATGGAATTACTGATCAAGATGTGCTGATAATAATAGAAGAATCCTGCCTGTCTTGAAAGGCCATGTCTCCATGTGAAATATATGCCTTTGGTTCTGGACAGAACAGTTTACAAAGGACATAAAGGACTAAAGCAAACTTTTGTAGTCCCAGTGAGGATGCTGCAATGATGAGACCCTAATATGCAATTGGCTTCATGGAGAAATAGTGTGAGTAAGGGTGGGGAGGGCACTGAGAACTCAACTGTTCTAGGAGAGTATTTGATGATCCTTGCAATTTAATATTGGTCAGTGCTGATCTTATGAGACAGTATTCATGTATGATGATTAAAGTGTTACAAAAAATGACAGAAAACTAGAGTAAGTTGATTTTTTCTTCTAGCTTTCAGCAAGGTCCTACAAAACAGACTCCGTCTAGAAGTGGCTAGTCTGAGAGTAAAAAAGACAACATATTCTCGGAGGTTGGGGTTGTAGTGCTTTCCATCAGGCACTACAGCAGAGAAGTGAAGCAAAGTCAGCTGAGTTTTTAAGGCAACTGTACCACCAATAATCCCTCCAAAGTAATCCCTATCCCCAAACTCACAATTACACAAAGTGGATTATGAAAATCCACTGATGAGATAAAGAACATGGATCAGGTTTATGTGAGGATAATTTAAAAGGACTCTATTTTTTAGTCTAAAAAACAAAGGCTATAAAGAGTCCAATTTGAATGTTATAAGCATAGAAATATAGATGGGGAGGTGTATATTTGCTTATCATATTTTGGTATACAAGAGATGATAACCCAAAGATATAAAAAAGTTTGTTACATCATGGACAAAGGGTCCCTAATGACACTTCCCAGGGCTTTCATGATCTCCATGCCCCTTGGTGTCACCATTAAACACAACACTAGACATGAGGTGACCATGGCTGTAACCTTGGGTTTACAGAATGACTGTAGAAGAGTTATGTATGCCATCAGCTTCAAAAAAAAGGTGGAGTGCAACCTCAGAATCAGAAATGCTCCCCTCCTTATAGATATATCATCCATCCTATCTCTTAGGTAATTCTCTTGATAACTCATTTTCTTATAAGCAAAAATATGTAAGTGGATATGATAATAACATGCTTCAATACTAGCATCCTGCCTTCTGAGCAGAAGCTCCATGCTAGACATTCAGGTTTTCCTTGCAGAAGGAAATCACTCCACAAACCCAGGAGCATAATGTCCACCTGATATTGTCATAGCAATAGGACAATCAACATCACTTCAATCAGTTTACAACTCCCAAAATATGATATGTGAACCCTTGTGTTATGGGATGCAATTAGGAAGTCCAAAGCCATTGCAGTAACAGCAAATCCATACTCCTCTTTCACTCTAATCCCACTAGGGAGATGGCCTCAGGTATGTATCAGGATAATTTTAACTCCCGTCCAATGCCTTCTCCTCTTTCTTTTTCACAAAGGGAAGCAAGCCTTTCATAGCCAACAGGAACTAAAATTTAATAACACTAGCATTGCTTTCATCCTGCTCACTTTTAAGCTTGTCTAATATCTGTAGCAATGGGCACTGCTTCTCATAGTAGTGCTGTGAAATTTCTTTCCAAAATAGGCTTATTTTGAAAAAGTAATCAACTTGTAAAAATGATGTATAGGTACAAATGGCAAAAATCAATCAGGTGGATTGAAGTTTGGGAAATATAGTAAGTTACTTAAGAAATACTTGTTTCTCTGCTGATATAATTGTTTTGTTTCTAGTCGCTGGGAAACTGCCCAATACCTCTTATTCCTCCAGATGCAGAATTCCAGTGCACCAAGTAGTTACATGACAGGATTGCTTTTGTACAGCACTTTGGAAGTGATGTGACATTTTGATATTCAAAATGACCTCTTCTGGTCAACCCCCAAATGTTGTTTTCCCCTAGGCACAGGTGAGGAAATGAATATTCTAGGAGACCAAGTGATTTGACCAAGGTTATAGGTCTAGAAAATAGCTGATCTGGTTCTTGGTACCTGAACTTCTGAGTCCTGTTGCAAGACTCTTTATCATGCATCTCTCTGCCTAAGCACATTCTGGTTTTGTTTGCTTATTATGAGAAAATTAAAATAAGATGAGATGATTACGACTGACCTGCAAAAGACCTAAGCTAGAATGAAATAGTTCCTTTTATACCAATACTAACAAACTTGTATTCTTTCCACTTCTAAACACACACACACACACACACACACACATACACACACACACACTGCTATAAGAATAAAGGGCAAATATGCAATTTTCACATATGACAGCCATAGCCAATGCCATTTCAGGCCTTAACTGCTCCCCTGTTGCAAGAGGAACTTTCTAGTGGACTCTGAGACGTGTGCAGAACAGCCCTGTAGGAATCTTGGGACTATCAAAAGGGCCACAGGTTTATAGAATGGCTGAAAAAAGGAGATTTCTATATCATTAGCTTCAGAAAAAGGTGAGTGCATCCTCAGAATTGGAAATGTTCCCTCATTATAGATGATAACACATCCATCCTACCTCTTGTGTCTTATCTACCACTCTCTTCTTTGTTCCTTCCACCCCAGCCAAGCAGCCTTCTTTCTTAAATATGCCAGCTTATTCCCATCTCAGTGCCTTTGCATATGCCACTCCCTTCACTATACAGCCTGCACCAGAGCTTTACATAGGGGCCTGTTCCTGATTGTTTATATCTCAGACCAAGAGATGTCTACTCAAAAAATTCTTTGATTTTCCTCACCAGTTACTAATGCTTCTTTCTCTATTATTTCCTTCTAAAAATTATCCTGTTTTATTTTCTTCATATGACTATGGCTGCCTAAAATTATCCTCTTTATTTACACCCAGCATCTGTGGTCCACTATTACCACCAGTGCTTGTTGAACAGTAGGTGTCAAAAAAAAACTTAGTGAATGGTAAGATACACCCTCCCATGCAAAAACCTGACCCACTCCCAAATGTAATCACTGCTCTTTCAAAGAAACAGAAAAGAAAGCAAAGAAACTCGACCTGGTCCGTGAAGAGTCCATGTCCAACACCAACTTTGCTAAATGTTTCCTTTGCTTTTGAATATTTGGGATTTCCACCTGTGGTTAAGGAGACATGATGTAATCAAACCAAAGCTCAAGGGAAGTACATTAAGAACTATGCTTCAAAACAACTTCTTCAGAGCTATTAACAGTCACCAGCAAGTTTGCCCGAAGTCTCCCAGTCTTTACATTCAGATGAAATCCCCCCTTGCTTTATTGAAGCACAATTATAAACAAATAGGAGCTGTATACATTTAAGGGTAAAACTGGATATTTTGATGTGTATACATTTAGAAATGATTACTACAAACTAATGAACACATTTATCACCATGTATAGGTACCATTTTATTTGTGTACATATGTGTGTGCTCACTTGTGTGCATATGTGACAAAACCACTTAAAATCTACCCTCCTAGCAAATTTCAAGTACACACCGCTCTACTGTCAGCTATAGTCACACCATGCTGTGTTATACCTTCAGAATTTACTCATGTGGGACAAGTGGAACTCTGTACCCTCAGATCAACACTAGAGGAAATTCTTGATTCTTTTCCTGCATTGTACTCTCTTCCCTTTCCTCTGGACACCTGCCAATCTCCATCAGCTTGGACCATCTCAGAGGATCTGTATTCTCCTGCTTCCTTGGGCCTGGCCACATTCCTGCCACTCTTGCAGCCAGGAAACATATGGGCTCAATCACATCTCCATCTACTTCTACAAGGGCTGAAAATAGGGAAAATAAAGAAAGTCAAGCACTCAGGCCTGACATGAAGACTTATCAAAAGATGAACAGCAGAAAATGGAGCAGCACCAGTCTCAGGAGACCTAAGATGCTATGAAGACTGCTAATAGGACATATATTGCATATTTCTAGAAACAAAGCAGGCACATTTGTATATTTATTGAAATAATGTAAGTTTTTTCCAGAGAAAATCATGAATGAGTATTGCCATTATGGCTTTTATCAGCAATGAGTTCTTCCATATTGGCTGTATGCAGATGCTGTTTTTATATTTTTCTTTCTAAAAATGACTTCCCTAAACATTCCAGTGAAGGATTTTGGTTCCAGGCCCAGCAAAAGTAGGGCAGGATATGAGAATTAAAAAGGAAAATTGGCCATAAATTGAACTAAAATCATCTCAGGCTGTGAGGTTTTTTTTTTTATTTTTTTTATAAGGGTTTATGTGAGGAAAACCCAGTGTTCTATGACGTGTTTTCTATTCACTCTACTGAACAGGGCTGAGTGATGTAGTGTGGGCAGCAACTTCTGCTAGGAAGAAGCATAGCTATTCACTGGCAGCCTGAGTCTACACAGAGCCCCAGATAGGGCTGGGCAGCATAGTACCCACACAACTCTCCATGACAGTTTCAGCTCTGCTTCCGGATGAGCCTTGCCCCTAATTTGCTTCAGGCTTTGGTCAGAGCCCCAGCCTACCTTATGAGGGGCCCATAAGGATGTTCCTGGCTATGGGATAACCTGCCACAGGACAGAATCTGAAAAGCCTAGAGCTGGTTTATGTCAATCTATGTTAAAAGCATTATACCTAGGATTTCTCATTGTTTTTTAGCATATAGTAATTGTTTAGCTATACATCTGTCATAGAAAGAGTACCAGGGTATGCAGAAGTAATGGAAGTGGCCCAGAGAGGAAACCAGACTTGATCCAGGGCAATGCTGCCTCTAATCACATATGGCTATGTAATGCTCATGAAATTAACAAAAGTGAATTCCTGAGTCACATTAAATACATTTCTCGTTCCCTATAGCTACGTGAAGCTGGAGGCTACCAAACTATACAGATGTAGAACTTTTCCCTCACTGCAAGGGGTCTCAGGGGAGAGCACTGCTTAGGTTTTGTATGACCAAATAAAGGCAACTGGGAAGGCTCCAGGTTCCGGGTAAATTAAGCTGCTCAAACACTTTCTGTCTCTGTTGATATAACTTCACTCGATGGAAGCTAATAAAATTGTCATACAGACATTAAGGTAGCTTTTTAATAAAAAAAGTTTAATTCACTGTTCTTTAAGGTCCAAAAGGAAAAGACTCATATAAACATCAACTGCAAGAGGCTTTGCAGAGGCTCTTGGACTTAGATCCCCTGGCTCCTTCTGAGGAGGCTCCACTGACTTCACTAAAGATAGGGCGGGGTATGGCAGTTGGAACTGGGGTTTGGATGGAGATGCGCAGTCAGCCAGATTTGCATCTTTTAGGAGGATGCAGGTGAGAGAAGGAGGCTGCATGCAGCTGAGAGGGCCATCATATTTGAGAATCTTGATGATGGGGTTCAGTGATAATGATTCCTGATGAAAACCAATGTCAGGGAATAGAGTAAGGGATGAAAACAACGTGGCTGGATGCATAATGATCAAGGGAGCTCCTGATCTGCACTCCCTGGACAGAGGCCCAGCCTTAGTCCCGAGTCTTACCTCAGCCAGCAGAAACAGGGGCTCGATCACATCTCTCTCTACTTGCAATTCAAAATGTATCAGCTCCTGAGCCAGCTTGTCCTCTGTCTCTCCGCAGAGTTTCAGCATCTTCCTGCATCCAAAGTGGGGAAAACACACTGAATATCTTGAAGACATTCTGCCTCAGCTATGCTGTCATCACCACCTTGCTCAATGAACTTTTCTCAGGTCAGTGTTAGGAAGCTGGCCAATGTCCACAGTTGCTGGTGACTGAACTGCTCCAACTGTCTTCCTTTCTGAAATGCTAATTCTTCCAACTGGTGCTGAGTACTCACTGTGTGTCTGGGACAAAGGGATTCATGTCAAGAAAGAGAGATGTAAAGAAAACAGATACACACATGCCAAGTCCACAAACGTAAAAAGCCAGGTGTTTTTCTCTCTTTCCTGGGGGCCTTGGAGAAATTAGCTGAGATTGAGCCACTAGTATACCAACATCTTCAAACATATACCAAAAATTCAATTTTGATAGGTCCTAATAGAAATAAAACCCTCTTACTTCTAAGCCATGAAAACCTAATTAGCACAGGATGGGTAGGTAATTATATATAAAAAAAAAAGCAGCAAAAGCCATTCCAAACGTGGATCAATAATAAGCAAATACCAAAAGACCTGAACGAGCAGTTTTTCCATACTCCCAGGTAGGATGGCAGACTATTTCACAGATATTAATTGCTCTCCAAATGGCTTCTTTTGCACTGTATCCTATTAACCAAAAATCATGTAAAATGTTTTTAAAGGTCAACAAATATATAAGCCGAGGTAACTGTTATTCTGAAGTGAGTATAACCCTTTACTCTCTCTACTTCAATGTGTTTATATACAGTATATAATATTGCTGCTTAATTTAGTTAAAAAAGTGTTCACAAATGGTTTTAAACTCAATATATTCTTATACTACTTGCTTTTGAATTGTACTATTATTTGAGGGGCTTATCCACGTTGATACGTCCAGAATTAATCATTTCGCTCTTGGAATTCCACTCTATGAGCACATATATAATATATATATATATATTATATTTGTGCCTCCATTTATTAAGTTTTCCTACAACCAAGAGTTTTGAGCTATTTCGTGCAGTGCCACAATATAGATGCATGTGCATTCTCTTCTTGCTTGTGTGAGAATTTCACACTCATGAGAGTTTTCTTTGCACTATGCCCCTGACAGTCCTTCATACTGGTAGGTGTCAATTTCTGCCAAATGGGTTGAAGCAAAATATTCTCTTGTTCTGATTTTTAATTTGGATTCCTTGACTACTAGTGAGATTGGATATCTTTTTATATGCTTTGGGTCATCCAAGATCTCCTCCACAAATGCCTACTACTATTCCTTGGCTAATTTGAATTGCAATCTATTTATTTCAGTTCATTTATAGTAATTAATTATATATTTTTTCATAGGAAGGTGAATATGGAATGGAGTCCCTCTCTCTCTCTCTCTTTTTTGATACCAAGGATCGAACATGGGACCTTGCGCTTATGAGGCAGGTGGTGGAACCACTGAGCTAAATCCCCAGCCTTAACTCTTTTTTATATCTGCTGAAAATGTCAACTCCTAAATTGTGGTTTTAACCTTTGTAACTTTTTAATGGTGTCTTTTATCTGACTTCCTGACACCTCAATTAGTTTAATGCCCCCCCCCCCACCGCCCTGGCAGTGCTAGGGATTGAACCCAGGGCCTTCCTCCACATCCCTAGCCCTTTTTTTAACATTTTAAATTTGAGACAAGGTCTTACTAAGTTACTAAGTTGCCCTGCCTAGATTGAAACTTGCCATCAACCTCCCAGGATGCTGATATTATAGGTGATAATGCTACTTCTTAAGTTTTAAAACCTTAAATATTAGCTGGTGACCCTCAACTATGGAAAATGAGAATTTAGCTATGCTTATATTTCCCTTCTTTCCACTTACTTTTATAAGTAGATTTCTAGTGTTTGTATTATTTTATATTTTTATTCTATATTACAAGTTCGAGTATTCCTAACCCCCAAATCCAAATTTTTGAAAGTTTGGATTAGGAAGCATTTTGGAGCTTCAGATTAGGGATTTTCAATTGGTTAAAGTCTATACAAATATTCCAAAACCAGGCAAATACCCAAAACCTGAAAAACTGGTTCCAAGCACGTCAGAGAAGGAATAGTCAATCTGTATTGGAGTGAAGCTAGGTACTATGCTATGATTATTTGTCTTTCTTGAACATTTATTTGTTCTTGCTGGAATTAATAATCACCTTGTTCCATCTGTTTGTTTCACTCACTTGCTATGTACCTGATTAAAACCAAAATACCCTGTCACTTTTCTTTTTTTTCCAGAAGGTTGTAGAATCTTTTGTTACCAGTATACATGTGGGTACGCCTCAGTGTAAGTTTAATTTTTCCATATATTCAGAGTTCAGTGGGCCCCTTTTGTACAGAAACTCATGTATTTCAAGTCTGAAAAGTGTTTTTGCATTATTTTTTATATTAATAGTATTACTGTTTCCTCTCCTTTTCTAAGAAATGTTTTCAGGTGTAGGACTTCCTGGATTGGTTCTCTAATTTTCTAAGATTTTTTATTTACCACGTCTTTGTCTTCTTGCTTCATTTTCTGGATAATTTCCTCCCATTTATTTTCCAAACCTTCAATTGAGAACTTTTAATCTGTTTCCATATGTTTTTTTCATTTCTATGAGCCTGCTTTGGATTTCTGAATGCTTCTTTCCTATAACATTTTGTACTAATATCCTGTATTTATGTCATAGATATACTTCTTCTCTTACTGTATGAAAAGCCTACGTGATAATTTCCCTGAGACTTCTCCCCCACATAATCTCTATTTCCGTCAAATTGTACTTCCCAACCCGATTGTTTGGTTTCTACAATTTAGGTCAAAGATTTCCTTTAGTGGTCTAGAGATCTTCGATCTTTTGAGCCCATCTATATTTAAGGGCAGAGACTAACAAGCTCAGAGAACAGAAATGAAGTTTGTCAGCTGTGAGCTTGGCTGTAGGATGATTTGGCTGGGCCATTCATCAGCATAATGCCCCTCTCTGATGTTTTTTGGAGCTTTTGAGAGCTTCCTTCTGGGGTGCTCAGATTCCCTAGAAAACCCTCCTAACTTCTCGCCTAGAAGATAAACACCTGGGGACCTTGTGAGCAGGGAGGAGGGGTGAGAAGTCTCCATCCACATCGGTATCTTCAGCATCTCTTGATCCTCTTCTTCACTGATTTGTGCCCCTCTTGTTCTCTGTCTCCATTCTGGAGATGCTTCCTTTTACTCATTCTAGAGAGTAAAGCTCCAGATGCCTGCTGAGATGGGAGTGGGGAAAATGAATGTCTCTTGGAGGTGTGGCTGGCCAATGTTTCAGTGATCCAAGTGGCACTTGGAAAGCTTTCAACCCACATTCTTTATTCTAATCACACACTCCTCCCAAAAGAGCCAACATTTCCAAGGTTTCTGGTGCCACCAATTCCTGGTACCATCAGCATTTCACAGTGTACATTATGTTGGATCTCTGCACATCCTGCTTCTAGACTGGGCATCAGATGTCTGGGACTCACCAAATCAATTCCCAGTCATTCTTATGATTTACAGTTCACCAAATTACACTGCTGTTGTCTTTTATCCTTGTTTTTCCTGCCATTGTGGGTCTAAGTCTTTTAAGACAAAAAGAACTCCCTTTATTGTAGTTTTGGTGGATTTTGGCAGGGAGCAAAGTCAGATGTGTGCTCAATCTGTGGTCTTTACTTTCAACCTTGCAGCATCACAGTGTTTCAGGGATGTCTCTTGGGAACACTATGCAACAGGATTTCATGTTTATCTATCCGAGATGCTCCGTATTTTAAACAGCTCAGTTTATTCCTTTTCCATCTGTGATGACTGACGATAAATAAGCAGTATTGCTATCATCTTCATTCTGTTTTCTATTTATCATGCTTTCCCTTGTTTACCTTTTTCTCTTTCAAGCCCTCCCTTGGTCTTGTTTTTTTTTTAGCCCCTTTTATTTATTTCCCTTTTTGTTTATGGAATTATACATTCTATTCCTATTCTTCTGGATACTCTTACTTTCCTAATATGTACACTTGATTGTAAATTCAAGTGTAATACACCTTTATCCTCCTTTCAAACAATACAAGAGCTTTGAAATATTGGTTTCCCCTCCTATATTTTATGTTATTGTTATCTAATCCCCCTAAATGAATTATTTATACTGTTGGGTTTTAATTCAATCCTTATTTATAATTACTTTATACTGATATACCACCCCAAAATACATCACTTTGGCATAAGGACTATTCGGAGCTAAAGGCAAGTGAGAATCAGATAGAAAAGAAAAAACCAGTAACTCTCTTCTGCCCCCTCCCCTTATTTGCCTAAATGCGAGAAATATATTTACAAAGGTGTTCCCCCTCTCTAATAGAAAGAACATATATCAATACTGGTGACAACTTCAGATCCTTACCAGCCCCAGGATGGAGATATAAGCAACTTCATTAACTAACCTTCATTGTCCATGAATGCCCCATACATGTACCTTCCCATATCTCCTCCTTCCCTTTGTCTTGTTACTTCTCCAGAAATGGTTGTTCTTTTGTCAAAATGCTACATAACCCCACATTCTAATCACGCCTTCTAACTTATTTCTGTGTTTTTCCATGTGCATGTATTTACTACATGTTAATAAAACACGTATGCACTTATTTTGGTAAGCTGTCTGCCGTCAATCTGATTTGCCAAATCCCAGCCACAAAACCTAGGGTAGCCAGAGAAGCACTTTCCTTCCCTAATACACATTCAGTAACTTTTCACTAAATTCTATCTTGTTACTTGCATTTCACTACTTTCCTGTGGACTTAGTTTCTTTCATGTAGTCTTATCTAGTTCTTCTGCAAGAACATGCAGGTAGTAATCTTTAGCACTAGTCTACTAGGCAAGCTAACTTTACTTGCAAGTAGTAAATTTTTGCCTGAAAAAAATCTTTATTTTCTCCTTGTTCTAAATAATGATTTAGGGTATCATAAAATTCTAGATTTCTTATGTTTTTATTCAATTCTTAAAAGATAATTCTTCCTTAATCTCCTGGCATTTATTGTATCTGATGAATAGTTTATCAGTTTAACTGCTCTTTTATTTATAGGTAATTATCTTTTTTCTTGGGTTGATTTTAAATTTCTTTCTCTTTTTTTTAGTCTGCATTTTCCCTACAATATGCTCAGGGATGGATTTCTTTTTGTTGATTTCAAATAGGACTTTTTGTGCTGTCTAAATCTAAAAGCAGTTTCTGTTCCAATCTAGAAAAGAAAAATTTAACCACAAACTTCCTTTCTCCTATTTTCTTCTTCAGGATCTTCTATGAGACAGAATTTTGTGCATTTGCATTCTGTTCCCACGCCTCTCAATTTAATAATGTCTACACTCTTATCTCAAGAGTCCTTCACTGTGTTCTTAGTTGGCAACTTCAGATCTGTTTCCAAGTTCAACAATTCTTTATTTTGTATAATCTCCAGTTTATTTTGATCAAGTTTTAAAATTATCAGCATAATTTCAATTTTAAGAAGTTCTAGCCGGCTGTGGTGGTGCATGCCTGTAATCCTAGTATTCTGTGAGGCTGAGGCAGGACAATCACAAATCCAAGCCTAGCCTGGGCAATTTAGTGACTTAGCAAGGCAATGCCCCAAACAGAAAAAATTAAAAGGGGTTAGCAATACAGCTCAACACAAAGGCCCTGGGGTTCAATCCCCAGTACTGGGGGAGAAGGGACTTCTGTTTGGTGTTCACTCAATTCTGTCCATTCTTTTTTCATGTTGTTGGTTCTTTTATCAAGGATTATTCTTATCATTTGTTCACTATAAAGTTTCACTTTAAATAATCATTGTATATTTCTTTTAATATCATTTTACTATTTTTAGTTCTTAAGAGTACTGAGTCTGCTATCGATTGTAGGAAAATATGCTGATGCTATCTCAGAAAGATTCTATTTTTAGTGTGCTTCATTGTGAATTCAAACTCAGCAGGGCTTGTTTTGGGAATCCCATGAGTTCTGACATCTGACACTGACAGGTTACATGTTTGCTTCTATTGAAGCCTTAGGGATTTTAATTGTCTTTTACCAGTTCTATGCTAATTTTTCCACTGGGACTTGTCTTACTGCACAGACAATCACTGGAGTTGAGGGTTTTTTAAAATCATTAATTAAGTTTATTGGTACAATTTAGACACACATAATGATCACACTGACTGTACAGAATTTGTACCTGTACATGATATATCTTGATTGATATTTTTTTCTTACTGGAAATATTTTTCTCCTTTCCCACACAAGTCCCCAGGCAGAATTCATGTGTGTGACATACTCCCTGAGGAGTTCCAGTCCCCTTTTTATGGAAGGGGACTTTCCTAGATTGAGCACAAATTCTCACATGCTGTCACCTTACCCAAGAAGTGTGTCATCTCCCAGGATAGCTGACCCTTCCATCAAACACTGAGCCAATGTTGTCAAAGGCAACTTTTTCTAAAAAGGAAACAAACAGCAAAGGAAAACTACTTGCAGTAGTCACCATTTAAGTCTAAAATAGCAAAGTCATATGCCTACCTAGCTAAGAAACAAATTGACTTTAAATATGTTTAAAACTAAAAGACTAGTACACAATGATGCAATGGACTTAGAGATATCAATTCAGAAAATTAACATGGAATTAAATTCAATAATTAGGAAAGTTAGCCTAAGGTTTACATACTACATTTTAAAATGAAGTAAGTTGTCAAGAAGGAAAAAAGAATTTCAAACTTATGTTCACAAAGATTTGAGCAATATGTTCGTTTCCAAAAATCAATCTTTTTTTCTAGAAGAGTCTATTAGTTCCATTTTGTAAACAAGGTAGCATACATTTGAGAGAGAAAAGTGCTCACAAATGGTTACAAGGCAAAGGAAGTGCCAAAAGAAGGGTACACTCAAAAGAAAATACAAAAATGCCTTACAAGTATATGAAAAGATGCTTTTCATTAGTCATTAGAAAATTCAAATCAAGGCCACAGTGAAATATCGCTCGGCTTTAGGCTGGGGATTTAGCTCAGTGGTTCTACCGCCTGCCTCGGAAGCACAAGGTCCCGAGTTCAATCCCTGGTACCAAAAAAAAAAAGAAATATCACTTGGATGGCTGTAATATTAATATTAAAAAAAAGAACATAAATATTGGTAGGTATGTGTAGAAATGCATTGCTATTGAAGGTTTTTAAATGATGCTGAACTGTGGAAAAGTTCAGTAGTAACTCAATATGTTAAACAGAATTACTATATGGCACAGGAATTCCATTCCTAGGTACATACCCAAAAAAAGTGAGAATAGGTATTCTAACAAAAATGTACATAAATGTGTAGAGTAACAGCCAAAACATGGAAACAATTTGAACTAGATGAATAAATAAAAAATGTGGTCTGTCCATACAATGGAATATCATTCAGCTCTGAAAAGAAACAAAGTCCTGACATGTGCTACAACAAGTATGAACCAGAAAATATCATGCTAAGTGAAATATTCTAGATTAAAAGGACATGCTATATCATTCTATTTATATGAAATGTCTAAGATAGTAAATCCATAGAGACAGAAAGGAGATTAGAGGTTGGCAGAGACTGAAGGGAAAGGAGGGTCGGGAAAAGACTGCTTAATGGTACAGGGTTTCCTTTTTGAGGTGATGAAAATGTTTGGGAACTAGACAGCCATGATAGTTGCACAATATTGTGAGTGCACCAAATGTTAAGATTATTGCCCCCTTTAAAATGGTAACTTTGGTTAGAGCCAAGCTTCTTGTTATGGTTTGGACATGATATGTCTCCCAAAGTCTCATCTCAGTGAAGGCTTCACCAATGGGCTTTGGGGAAGTGACTGCATGTGGGCTCTTTATTGGGGGCATTACTGGGAGATGATGGAAGGGAGTGGATCATGGGAACATGACCTTGGGGACTATATCTTGTCCCCAACCCCTTTCTCCCTGGCTCATTTTCTCTCTCACTACTTCCTAGCTGCTATGAGGTGAGCAGCTTTCCTCTGCTACCCCCTTCTACCATGATGTTTTTGCCTCACTTAAAGCTTAAAGCAGTGGAGCCAGCTGACCATGCTCAAACTGAGCCAAAATACACCTTTCCTTAGTTAAGTTGTTACTCCCAAATACTTTGTCACAGTTATGGATAGCTAACATACTATTAGAAGAGTGAGGCACGATCTGTCCCCTCCTCACTATGTATCAAAAGCCCTCTTCTTACAGAGCCAAGACCAACCAGCACACATAGACAGCAGAAGAAAAACAAGGTAGGAACCGCTAGCATCCTCAGGCTTTCCAGTCTTTATAGCCATAGAAAGTTTTTCAAATGGAAAGTGACTGGCTTATACTCAGTCCAGAGCCTCCTGGTACTATAAACTAGAGTTCCCTCTGTAATGCATTTACAAATCCAATACTTAAAGAGGGCGGCATTCCATACAGGAGAAACACACACCAGCAGCAAACAAAACTAGATACTGCTCTTGTGGAACTTAACTTCGACTGGGGAGACAGATAATAAACATCTGTGTGAGTCATCATTTAGATACTCATCAGTATCCTTTTAATATCCTTTATAACAAACTGGTAAACACAAAGTGCATTCCCTTGGTTTTGTGAGCCATTGGTCACAAATGCCAGAGATGGGGATTTGCAATTGACAACTGATGTGGGGAATGGTTTTGTGGGGCTGAGCCCTTAATCTGTGGGATCTGAAACTAACACCAGGAGGACAGGGTCAGAAGTGAATTAAAGTGCAAGACACCCAGTTGGGGTTTGGAAAGTTGAAGAACTGCTTGTGTGTATGTGGGGGCAGGGGGAGATCACATATTTTTGGTCACAGAAGTGTTGCATGTGAGTGTATGTTTTTCAAAAAAGTGGGCTTAATATCCCAGTGTGGGCTCATAGAAAGGGCATAGGTTAAGATACTTGCTCTTAACCAGGGTTCATTTTGTCTTCCTGGGGTCAGCTTGCACTATCTAGAGACATTTTTGGTTGTCTCGATTTGGGGGATACTACTGGCATCCAGTGAGTGGAGGCCAACAATTCTGCTATACATCCCCCAATGGACAGGATAGCCTGCACAACAGGGAATTTCTCAGCTTGAAATTCAGCAATGTTGAGGCTAAGAAAATGATTTAGTTTCCAAGTTCCTAAAACTTACAGAAAGTGAGGATGCTCCAACCTAAAATTCAGACCACATAGTCATACTGGTCAGCTCTAATAAAAAGGCTATTTTGGTTTATGGCAGACAGTCATAGGTCTTGCAGTCCCAAGACCTACTACCTTCAAGGCAGGACTTCGGCTTTCCTAAATCCTTCAAACTTTGACAAAGCAGCAAGGGAGGATTCTGCCTATCATAGAGTAAAGAGAACTTCTGCTAGCCAAGGGGTAGACATTCTTTGGAGAAATACATCTACCAGTAGGTGAGCACAGTTTATCCAAATATGGAAAATGAGACTAGTCAGTGAGTTTCGCAGATAACTGCCTATGTGTGACAAATGAGGTAAACATCAGTGTCAAAGGAACAAGGACAGCCACAAACGGAACACAGTCTTGGAGGGAGGGTGGTGAAGGGGCAGCCAGTGTCATTTCTGCGTAATATAGCTTGAAATAACATGGCCGGTGGTGCCTTGTTCCTTAGCCCGGTAAACAGTAGCATTTTCTCATCATCTTGTCACTTAACACTCATACTGATGCTGCTGCAATGTTCTTAAGGGGGAAAAAGGATCGTCTTAAGTGACAAAGTGCCACAAAATATGAAAATTATTCCTGTTTCAATGGTTTTTTGGTTCTCAAGATTTTAATAAGAAAAGGAGAGAAGATTTCTCTGTTTCACCTCTATCATACTTATTTATCTATATCAATTTAATTTTTGAGCTGGGCCTTGCCTTTATACATAGAAATACTTTTCATATATCATTTTCTATTGTGCTACCTTGTTTTCTGTTTTTGATGGTGGTTTGTAGGACTCCATTCATGCCAGTAAGTTCTGTACCACTGAGCTACGTCTCAAGCCGTCTTTCCTTCTTTAAAACAGCTACATAAATGACTAAATGAAGATGGCCATGTATTTACTCAGGTCCTCTACCAACGCTGTAAATACCCCTCTAGGAGGAATGCTGAGGTGAATTTGAGGGCTTGGATGCAAGTGCAGGAAAAGGAGGGTTAATGAATAAAACTCAGTAGAATGTAATGAGTTTTTATTTATGACAATGCTTTAAGAATTAACAAACGGAAAGGAAGCTGCCACATGACAAAAGGAAGAAGTGGATTAAACTGGTTTACTTTTATATCAAAAAGGAATAGGGCACAAGGACCCGAGTTCAATCCCTGGTACCAAAAATAAAAAGGAATAGGGAAACCTATAACCAAAGGCAGTAGATAAAATGTTAATGGATGATAACCTCAAGCAGACAACAAATTATTTTCATTTCTAAATTCTCTGGATGAAATGTAAATTGAGGTCTCAGTAGAAGCCAGGCACTATAGCCACCTCACATCACCTCCTGACTGTCTATCACTAAGGTATAATTTGCTCTCCCTTCCAACCCTTTGCTCATTCCCACTACATGTATAAAAACATGCAATTTTCAAAGGAATAAACTGCCCAAAGGACTATAAAAGCTGCTGCAATTTGTTTCCCTCTGGTGCCGAGGATCCACGCTGAGAGAGTTGGTCCCAATCCTTGGTGAATATTAGGGAACATCTCAGCAAATTTCATGCTGGCCAGTAATGTTTCAGAGTGAAAAGGAAGTTTTTAAAATAAAATTTTCCCTGGCTCTAGAGTTCAGATAGAACTTTTAAGAAAAAAGACAGAATGTCCCAGGGCTTAAATGCATAAATCTGAGATTCCTGAGATGATTGTTCTCTCTAAAATTATCTTGGGCATAAGCTACACCATTTGTAGGATGACTCAGACACAAGTCTCATTCTAATATCCACTGCTCCCCCAAACATTTTATTCTCTCATCCCTTATTTCTGAAAACTGCTTTCTACTATTCCCTAATTCCAAGTCCAGGCAATGTGCTCTAGTGTGATTTAATGCTCAAAAGACACAGCCCAGGTTTGTGGCTCAGGGCTCAATAGTTCTAAATGGTCACCTGGGCCTGACAGTGGAGCATTACTAACAGCAGCATGTCGGATATCTGTAATATTTGCATAATTTAGGTTCTGTGCTAGGCATTTATACAGATTACCTCATTGAACTCTCAAACAACTATATTGGTTATTGCTATTACCATTTCCCAAATGGTAATAACTAAGGCTTATGAATTAAGAAGTAATTCACTTTCCCAAGGTCAGGCAAAATTAGAAAGCATTAGGGCTGAACTGCAACCTTGGGTAGTCAGATTCCAGTAAGCTCTGAGCCATCATGCTAAATTTCCTGTTACAGAACAGGAAGGGTTCAAATTGGTGTGCTAGTGTTTAAGGCAGGTTCTGTGCCTAAAATACTCACAGACCATCCATCCATTCAGGACACAGATCTATTTTTATCACTGCCTACCATGTGACAGGCCATTTTTAAGGAAATGAAAATATATCTGATAGAGCGACAAGATCCCAGCTCCCATGGAGCTTACACACTGGCAGCAGAAATCAATGATCACAGTGACTTCAGATACTCATACATGTCATGAATAATAAAATAGGGTGATAGGACAGGAGAGGAAGGTGCAAATGAATTAGGTGGTTTGAGAAAGCCTCCCTGAGCAAGTGACATGGAAGAGGAACTGAACAATAAGAGGTTGCTGTTACCTAGCTTCCAGATGGAGGCCAGAGCAAACTCAAAGGCTCGCAAGAGGGATACAGTACAGCATTTGGTTCAGAACAGGTCAGCCCAGCCAGAGGAAGATGATTGACAGGAAGAAGCAAGAGCTGAGCTCAGAGATGCAGGTAGAAGACATATCACCAGGGTCTGAGGGCCAATGTAAGGAGTTCAGATTTTTATTCTACAATGGGAATCCTTTGGTGAGATTTCAGCAGAAGTGGGATATCATCTGATTACCACTTTAAACACTCACTTGGCTTGTTGTAGAAGATGAAAAATGGAGGAGGAGGAGGAGAGGCTGGAGGAAGGACATCGTAGGAACCACTGTATAATGCCAGCTGCTTGAATGAGTGTGGTACACGTTAAAGCAAAATGGAATTTCTCTGGAGGAAAAGCCGGCAGAGAGCTTGGCTATGGGGTATGGAAAGGAAACAATAAAAGATGATGTCTAGGGGGCTGGGGTACGGCTCATTGGTAAAGCACTTGCCTTAAAAAAAAAAAAAGATATCTTGGTTGTAGATTGGAGCAATTGGTTAGATCTTTGCTAGACCTTCCAGGTAGAGCCTGAAATGCTGCGGCTCTTGGGGTTCTTAATTCAATGGTCATTTGTCTTCTCAACTTGTATTTTCCCCCCAGGGAATCTCAACTGTATGAATTCAAGAGTCACTCAAACCAAAGTACATGAACTCCCTTCTCCTTCCTTGTACCTCCACATCCATTCAATTATCAGTGTGAATACTCTTCCCCCATTTCTACTGGGTATGCACATCTCTCACTCTTCACTGTTCCTATCGCTCCCGCACACATGATTCTTATGGTTATCTAACTGGCCCTCACTTCTATCACAGCATCCATCCTATTAACCTATTATTCACATAATCATGAACAAATCTGATCATGTGGCTCTCTAATAAAACCTTAGCCCAGGAGGTACAAGCCTGAAACTTTTAAAGGTACATAATAAAAGTTTAAGTGTTGTAAGTTATAACTAAACTGCTAAGGAACTACTGACCTTCTTAAGAGAAATAATAACAACAACTGATAAGTATTCCAATAAAACACAGAGGTGTGTGGACATCCATAAAGTCCCTCCTAATCCTGAGGCTCTATGACAGTAGCTAGACTGAGAGGCTATGACCCTACCTGCTCACCTACCTGCTCATGTTGGTTGGCATCATTCCTTCCATAGGTAACAATCTTGAACTTCTTGATACCTGACCTGCCTAGCTAGTGTCTGTCATCCAGACCTCCCTCTGTCCTTTTCCTGATCTTTCTTATTTATTTTCTTTTAGATTCTCTTTTTAAAATTCCTTTTTCCTCTTCACCCATTCCATAGATCTCGATACATTTCCCTAAATTCAACAAACTACACATATTATTTCAGTATTTAGACAATTTGAAAGTGTCACGTTTCCTATTAAGCTTCCTGATGTGTTATTTTAGAACAAAATGATTTTCTGATTATTAGTCAGTCATAGGATACTAAAGAAACACTGATAAATCCAAGAAACCACTGACAAGATCTAGGACTTGAAATCCCTGATCTACCTGTGCTTGGGCACCATACCCATTGCAGAGTTCTTCCAGGTCAACTAAACAGGTTCCCTGTTTGCAGGTCCACTGCTGCACACATGTGGCTGCAACCTTCAGGGCTGACAATGTCCCTCTATGAGAAGCCGGATGGAGTGTGTTCTCACAGGTGAATCACAGCCGGTAATGGCAAACCTATCTCTCTGACATATTTTCATTTCTTGGCCTCCCTTGCAGCTAAAGAAACACAAAATAAATTCTGAGACAGATTTTTTTCTCCCATAATTCATGCTCTAACCACCTGCTTATGTGGCTGTGTAAAGACCTAATATCTGGAGCTGCAGCAGCCACATTACAACCGTAAGTGGGAGCTCAAGCATTACAAAGATGTGACCCAAAGCTGCTAAATAAGGTTTAGGAACAGCTACTTCAGACACCTTGTTAAGTGAGATGTTAAATGTCTTTCTGCTGAAGTCAGTAATGAAGACTTTTATTTTCTGTATTCAGATGCTCTGACCAGGTCTTGGGGCCTTGGGGTTTTTGGAGGAACTGCCCCTGTAAGGGTTGGACAATTCCTAGAGAGAGCAAACAACTCAATCAGAGCACACTTTCCATATACAAACCAACCAATTCAAAGCCTACACTCCAGCCACTTCTTTTACCATTTCCCGCACTCCAGGACAATATTCTTTTGCCCTAATTGCCCCACTGGAGCCAGGTACTAGGCAACTAAGGACAGCCCTTACACCGTGAATACTGTTGAAGTTGCTCAAACAATGCAATCCTGAACTTGCTTACCCTGCCTCACTTGTTTCTGCCTGCAGAAATTGTAATAGTCTCTTGCTTACATCCATGCTCTTCTGCTCCTTGACCCACCCTGGTGCTTCCCTGTATGACCCTGTGTGGCCTGTCCTGTCCCCTCCTCTTTGGAATTGTGAGGAACACTGTCTTTTCAACAGCAGTCTCTTCTGATCTCTTGCCATACCTTAAATTTGCCAGCAAGTCACTACATTTTAGAACACTCAGGGAGCCAAACTTCTTCCTGGTAGAATTTTCAAGGCTCTCAATCCAATGACAACTCCACAAATCTAGTTAACTCTGTCTTATCCCAGAAAAAAAAATGCTAGTACTAATTGGCTTATAAACACCAAAGACTGGTTTCAAGCCTCTGGTGATAACAGTTAGATGGTACTCTTGATATCAATATATACCATACTTAAGATCAGTTATTTTAAAAAGAGTGCTTCCTGGAGTAAAAGAAAGGATGTGGGTCAAAGGCAGGCATGGCTCCAAGCCCCTCTCAGGAATAGCTCCCAGAGTTCCACATTTGATATACATTAGATAGAAGGATTTTATGTCCAAAGTAACTTTACAAACTCTTGTTTTAGATTACTCAGGTTCCCTTTGCTGAAATTCCTGACATACACAGAATTATTTCTATAGCTATTTTCCAGATCTGTGAGTTTTATTTACACCACATACAAGTGATTCCTGCTTGGAATATAGGTTAAAAATCCCTAATCTTACAATACAAAATCCAACCACTCCAAACTGAAACATTTTAAGCATCAATATGATGCCACAGTGGAAAATTCCACACCTGACCTCATGTGACAGGCCACAGCCAAACACAGGTGCACTAAATATACAGCATAAAATTAACTTCAGGTTATGTGTATTAGGTGTATATGAAACACAAATGGGTTTCATGTTTAGACTTGGGTCCATCCCCAAGATCATTCTTATGTATACGCAAGCAGTATTAAAAAAAATGTGAAATCCAAAACACTGCTGGTCCCAACATATTGGATAAAGTATATATTATTAAGAAAGAAGAAACCAGGGCTGGGAAGAGAAGAAAAAATGACTGACAGAGTAAACAGAGCAGGTATTTTCACTTCAGAAGGAGACAGGAGGAAGCCCTGGGTGTGTGACCTGACATCCAACAGAGACAAGGCTAAATCAAGCTGGGGGATCAGTGAGGCCATGTGAAGAGGAAGTCAACACTAACTCTAGGTCAGAAAAATCTGACAATAAACATGTAAGTTGTAAACTCAAGGAAGGACTAAAAGTCCTCCCAGATTACAAATCTCTGGTATTGAATCCAAATCATGTCTCAGAATATCTTACTGTCCAGTAGACTTGAGGGAAGCAGGGGTTAAGAGGAAAGTAAGACTGTCAAGACTGTTTACACCAAGAAGTGTGAAATGGAACCATATTCTACAATGCCTGTTATTACTGTTATAGGTTGTAAGCAAAGATATTAGAGCAGCTTTATTTAGCAAGCCCTCTTTACTGTTTCATTATAGTGAAAACAATTTTCAAGGGCCTTTATAGATCACTTACAACCTCTAAAACCATGGCATCATTTTTTCCATGAGATCTTAAAGTGCTTTTGGGGCCAATGGAATCTATGAATGAGCTGAATCACAGGTGAGATGTCCAGCAAGGATAAAGCTCCCCTCAAGGTGGGGTTTCAGGTTTGCCTCTGCCACCCTCCTGTGAGCCTCACTCTGGGGAACTCAAGAAGGAGGACCTCACCTTGCCTGGGGAGGGGTAATGTTTCAGGCAGGGATAAAGGGCAAGAACAGTGCAAGGGTTGCCACTCTGCAGAAATAAGAAGCTATGCTTGCTTGGTTAATGCATACACACATTAAGTGGGTACATAAATAGCCACAGAAAACAAGGCCTGAGGAGTGGGATCCTTGCCATTGGGAGGCAAGTGTGAGTTGCCCGGGACTCTATGAAGGGCACTTACAGAGCGCTTGTCTGCCTCTGCCCCTTGCTGGCCCTGCAGACACGCAGTGAGCTTCTTATGCGTGCTGTGGGACACTTGCTTTACCAGCTCCAGGCGCTTCTCCACCTGCAGACAGAACAACAGGGGGTGCCATGGGGGAAAGGCAAGGTCAGGAGAGGTGAGGTCATCAGCCTGAACAAGCTTGACCCTGTCTCCCGGGGATTCTGGGGAAGGTATCATCCAATGCTGGAGAGCTAGATGGGGACTGACTGGAGACACGACAGCTCTCCTGCTAACCTTAAAACGAAGACTTTAAAGCTGTCCTCAAGAAACTTAGCTAAATCATATAGTCACTTTCAGCATCTGTAGGGGTTTGGTTCCAAAACTCTGTCGATACCAAAATCCACAGATGCTCAAATTCCTTATATAAAAAGGCATAGTAAATGCATCTAACCTATCCACATCTTCCTGTAAAAATTACATGTAGATTATTTATAATATTTAATACAATGTAAATGTTATAAAATGCTTGCTCTACTGCATTGTTTAAAAATTAATGACAATAATAAAAGTCTGTATATGTTTAGTACTGATACAATCTTTTTCTCAATAGTTTTGACCCACCGTTGGTTGAATCCACAGATGTGGATGTGCATATACAGGAGGGCTAACTGTATCCAAAATCTAAACCATTGTTGTGAAACACAAAAAGTTATAGCTCCAAGCAGTCTGTACACAGAGTCCCAGGAGCAGCTGATACAGCATGGAGAATGGCTTTATTTTAGAAGGGAAAATGGTGACATGAGCCCATAGTTGGTGACAGCCTTACCTGAAGAAGGTCTTCACTCAGAACTTCAGTCTTTTCTGCCCTAAAGAGAAAATTGAGAAATATATCAATAACAAAAATAAAAATAAAATATATTAAAAACACAGTCTTATAATTATTCCCCACTCTCATCTCTTAGCAAACATTAGGAAAACAGAGGCATTAACAGCAGAAGCTCCTAGCAAGAGAACATAGAGACAATTCTGGAAGTTATAGGGAACCTTAAATAAGAAACACCTGTAACATGGCAAATAAGATACTCTTGAATTTCCTGCAATAGATCAGGAGCTGAATTAACCACAACAAACATACACTTCTTTTGTTCACAGACATGTTTTGTTGTGTTTTTTAAGTCACAGAATTAAGTAGGTTTCTACATCTATGTTCCTTGGCCTCCTCCAAGCAAGCAAGCAAAAGCAGCAGAAATCTGAGAAGGAATCAATAAAAGACAAACGCAGGGACAGTAACTGAGTCTGGGCAAGTAACACCAATGTCTGGCAACCAAGTATTAGGTCACTATTCTCAAATGACATGATTGTTTACACAGAAAATGCTAAGAAATATACAAAAAAAATAAAATTACTACATATCACTATATAAGTTCAACAAGATTTTATGACCCAAGATAAACATACAGAAATAAACTATTTCTACATGCTTGCAATGAACACTGAAATTGTAAAAAATACCAGAGGCAATAACTTTAAGAATACAATTCTTAGGTGTCAGTGTACCAAAACATACAAAGAAGAGAGGAAGGGGGGTGAGAGGTGGGGAAGGGGAAGTAAAAAGAATTAAGATGTGTTATGTGCATGTACCAACTCTCCACAAGGAATGCAATCTACTGCAAATAAGTACTAATAAAAATTTAAAAAAATAAGAATTTTAATAGGCATCTCACACACACACACACAAATACACACACACACACACACACACACGACCCATAAAAAGAACTTGCAGGCTGAAAACTACAAAGTGTTTATGAAGGAAACCACTGAAGAGCTACATAAATGAAGAGATGTATCATGTCTGTGGACTAGAAAATGCAACGTATCAAGAGTGACCAAAGCAGCTGGGGATTTAGCTCAGTGGTTCCGCTGCCTGCCTCGCAAGCCAAGGACCCAAGTTCGATCCCCAGTACCAAAAAAAAAAAAAAAAACAAGGCCTGAGGGAGCTTGTTAGCTCCCTTCCCCCTACTACCATAGGACCCAATGAAGGAACCATCAATGAGGAAGGGGCTTTGACC